AGAAAGAGAACTGGCTCTTGACTTTAGTGGCTAGGTTTTGCTGAAAGTTAACTTTTTGCCTTCACCATAGTTTTCTATCATAAATGGCATCTTTACAAATAGAATACATCTGTAATCCATAAATGAGTGAAAAATAAGGATACAAGTGAGTGAAATACTTAATTTGATTTAATTGGCTTAATTTCAGTAACTTCTATATAGAAAATTGAATATGTAAAATACAACTGGTGAATTATTTGAGTACTTAAATGAACATCCTGAACATAATAAATATTACTTAAATGAAATAAATTATTGCAATTTATCTAATAGGGAAAAATACTACTAATCACTAACAGAAAAATTCAAATATTATATGAATAAATTCTAAGTATTTTTTAAATTAAAAATTTTGAACTATACATGTACTAAGAGATTTTATAAATTGTGGATAAAACATATTTAAAATCAATATCCAAGAATAGCTAGAAGCATTCTTTCTAAAATTAATAACAAAATAAGAGTCAAGATAAGTTAGTTCATTATAAAGACCATATATGATTAAGAAGTTCTGTCTTTAGACTTCTTAGGCATACATTTTATTTATAGCACTTGGTAGCTATATGATCTGGAGAAAGTTAATTTATTTAATTTAGTCTTAATTGTATCATTTCTAACAGTGAAAATGGTGCTTACTCTATACAATTTTTGTAGAAATAATTGTTAAAATACATAGTAAGTACTTAATAAAACAGCTATTATATGTTTTTTAAAATAACTTGGATCCTTTATTCTTTTTTTTTAATTGAGGTATCACTGATATACAATTTTGTGAGGGTTTCACATGAGCAACATTGTGATTACAACATTAACCATATTATCAAGTCTCTCTCACACCCCATTGTGGTGACTGTCCATCAGTATAGTAACATGCTATAGAGTCACTACTTGCCTTTTCTGTGCTATACTGCCTTCCCCGACATTATGTGTGCTAATCATAATGCCCTTTAATCCCCTTCTCCTTTCCTCCCTCCTCACCCACCCTCCTGACCCCTTGCCTTTGTTAACCACTAGTCCCTTCTTGGAGTCTGTGAGTCTGCTGTTGTTTTGTTCCCTCAGTTTTTGCTTTGTTGTTATACTCCGCAAATGAGTTAAATCATTTGGTATTTGTCTTTCTCTGCCTGACTTATTTCACTGAGCATAATACCCTCTAGCTCCATCCATGTTGTTGCAAATGGTAGGATTTGTTTTCTTCTTATGGCTGAATAATATTCCATTGTGTATATGTACCACTTCTTCTTTATCCATTCATCTACTGATGGACACTTAGGTTGCTTCCATGTCTTGGCTATTGTAAATAGTGCTGTGATAAACATAGGGGTGTGTATGTCTTTTTGAATCAGGGATCTTGTTCTCTTTGGGTAAATTCCTAGGAGTGGAATTCCTGGGTCAAATGGTTTTTTTATTTTTAGTTTTTTGAAGAAACTCCATACTGCTTTCCATAACAGCTGAACTAATTTACATTCCCACCTACAGTGTAGGAGGGTTCTTCTATCTCCACATCCTCACCAGCATTTGTTGTTTCTTGTCTTTTGGATGTTGCCCATCCTAACTGGTGTGAGGTGATAATTCACTGTGGTTTTAACTTGAATTTCCCTGATAATTAGCAATGTGCAGCATCTTTTCATGTGCCTGTTGGCCATCTGAATTTCTTTTTTGGAAAATTATCTGTTCAGATCTTCCATCCATTTTCAATCGGATTATTTGTTTCTTGGATGTTGAGGCATGTGAGCTCTTTATGTATTTTGGATGTTAACCCCTTATCAGATAAGTCATTTATGAATATATTCTCTCATACAGTAGGATGCCTTTTTGTTCTGCTGATTGTGTCCTATGCTGTACAGAGTTTTTTAGTTTGATGTAGTACCATTTATTCATTTTTGCTTATGATTCCCTTGCCTGAGGCGATGCATTCAGGAAAAAGTTGCTCATGTTTATATTCAAGAGAATTTTGCCTGTGTTTTCTTCTTTGAGGTTTTATGTTTTCATTCAGATCTTTGATCCATTTCGAGTTTAATTTTGTGTATGGAGTGAGACAGTAGTTCAGTTTTCATTCTCTTACATGTAGCTGTCCATTTTTGCCACCACCAGTTGTTGAAGAGGCTGTCATTTCCCCATTGTATATCCATGGTTCCTTTATTGTATATTAATTGACCATATATGCGTGGGTTTACATCAGGGTTCTCTATTCTGTTCTATTGATCTATGGGTTTTTTTCTTGTGTCAGTACCAAATTGTTTTGAATACTGTGGCTTTGAAGTAGAGCTTGAAGTTGGGGAGTGTAATCCCCCCAGCTTTGTTCTTCCTTCTCAGGATTACTTTGGCTATTTGGGGTATTTGTGGTTCCATATGAATTTTAGAACTATTTGTTTCAGTTCTTTGAAGAATGCTATCAGTATTTTGTTAGGGTTTATGTTGAATCTGTAGACTACTTTAGGCAGGAGGGCCATTTTGACAATATTAATTCTTCCAATCCATGAGCATGGGATGAATTTCCATTTATTAGTGTCTTCTTTAATTTATATCATGACTGTCTTATAGTTTTCAGAATATAGGTCTTTCTCCTCTTTGGTTAGGTTTATTTCTAGGTATTTAATCCTTTTTGATGTAATTATAAATGAAGTTGTTTTCCTGATCTTTCTTTCTGCTAGTTCTTCATTAGTATGTAGGAATGCAACAGATTTCTGTGTATTAATTTTGTATCCTGCAACTTTGCTGAGTTCAGTTATTAGTTCAAGGAGTTTTGGGGTGGATTCTTTAGGGTTTTTTATGTACAAAATCATGTCATCTGCAGATGTATGTCTCCTAATATCCAGAGCTCTCCATAATTGGCCCTTGCAAACCCTTCCAACTAGACTCCTCATTTCTGGGTTGTTCCATTCAATCAAATATGTACTTTTGTTTACTGTTAGATGCATTTGTAAGATCTCACATTTTAATTTCTATTATTTCAGTACTACATGATTTACATTTTCATGTATGCTTGCTAAAACCAAAAATCATATATCATTATTTTTTGCTTTTAGAGTAGTGGTATAGTGCTTTTTATACCATATGATGAAACAAATATGTGTGAAATAATTTTTTACATAATCTGTCTCCTATAATTTTTTGTTTTGATCACTTTTATATATATTCAACATTTCCATAAGTAATCATATCCTCACTTAAGGGGCAATACTAAAAGTTTGTTGTTGTTTAATGTTTTGTTTTTTAGTATAAAGAATTACTAGATTCTTTCACAGTCTCTGAGCTAATATCTCTTATGACTAAGCATACATTTTAGAAAGTGCTGAGTATATGTAATCTTTGGGCACAGAAATATGGTGAAGTACTTTAAGAACTGATCAAATATTCATTTCACTTATAATTATATCCCATTCAAATTCTCAGATCTCCTAAGTATGCCATGTATATATAGTTGGGTTAAATAATATCTAATAACAAATTAATTGTTCTCTGATCATAATTCTATACAAACATCATCTTTGTTTAATACAAGCAGTGACTTCAATCCCTGAATAATTATCATTTTTATGAAACTATTAGCTGAGATGATTTTTGCTTATAAATACTATACACTTGTTATTTGCATATGCTTGTATAATTTAGATGTCCTATATGTTTGTCATAAGATAATGTTTTACAAATGTAATTGTATTTAAATACACTTACTGTTATATTAGCATGTGATAATAGCTTTTTCAAGTCAAGAGCTTCCTTTATTAGATATCACTTTTAATAGACTAAAAGTGAGTATATTATTCTTTTCATTCCATTCAACAAGTAGTAAATAAGAAAGGAATAAATAATACAGTGTAGAAAAGGAATCATTTTGAAAGATTGTGCCTCTTTTGAATTGCCTACTGTGTAAGACAGTGGGCTAAGAGTTTGTTGAATAGATGTTGGTCTGATATTTCCTACTATTCCAGGTAGCTTCTCCAAGATTTCCACTTTCAAATTCATTGTTGAATGACAAGATTATTACTGTCACATATCCAAAGAAATTTACTTCCTGGGAGTTACATTTACATGAATTCATGTACATTTCTATTTATTTGTAGGAAGTTTTCATACATGATTACATATAATTGCATGTGCTTCAAGTAAATAACAGAGGACTTCACATACTTTTTTTTTTTGGTTCTCCATACTATAAAGAAGGATGCTTTCAGAATAGTTTAAATATTGTAAAAATTCAAGCAAACTGACAAGAAAACTTACTGATGCTGTTTTCTGATTAACAAGTTATGTCATGCATATAAGTCACTACTAAATACCTCTGCACTGTTACTTTCTTATTCTGGAAGAAATTTTAAAAAGTATGAGTAGTTTATTTTGTAATTAAGAAAATATAAGATAAAACTTAAATTCTTCAGGCCAAAGGAATAAAGATCACAGTTATCAGATATAGTTTCCATGTGCAAAAGTTATTTTTGCCTACAGTTTCCTAAGTAAAACCAACCAGTGTACGTCACCTGGGAGAGAGAAACAAAGGTTAAGTAGTAAGGCAGTGATCTTTATCGAAGGCTCATACATTTTATTAGCCATGGCAATTTTCTCTACTTGCTGTCATAACAAAAGAAAATTATAAATTGGAACACTTTATTCTGAGAAACTTGTTACTGAAACAAAGTAATTTTCCTACACTCTAAATTGAATGCTTTTTAATTCAAGACTGAAACTGTCTTAGTTTCTACAGTTTCTTTATCCTCCTAGAAGAATCCTTAATAAGTTTCTGTCATTGCTTATTTTCACTTTTATGTTATTATAAATTAACACTTCATTAAAAAGTATTCATTTATTTAAAACAATGTTTCCCTTGATGGAAATGGAAGAATAAGCATTAGGAACTATGATTAAGAGCAAATAATGGAAAGGGCTAGCAAGTCTTTAGAATATGTTACTTTATACTGAGCTTTATTTTTTTCCAAATCATAGATGATTACAACAGAGCTGATATTACAATCAATAATCTCCACACATGCAACAAACATTTTAGGTATTGAAATAATAAGATTATTTTACATTTTGTGTATATTTTTGATGTCCACAAAACTCAAATCCCAGCAAAACAGTAAAAGAAAAGTTTCATTTTATCACATGATGATGTCTAAAGAGTGTATGATAATGAATATTCACAGTAACTTTGGAAACAGATTGCATATATTCATATTTCATGGGATAGTTTTCTTTCTGATAGTTTACAAGATTATTTTCACCATATTATTGATTGGGTCATATGCTATATAAATTTCTGTATTCTTATCTAGTTGATATCTATTAAATAGTGTGTTCATATACATATCTCTATTATAAAATGAATTAACATATGTAAAATATCTAGAATATTGTTTGGGCACATAATGAATTTCTTATAAGTGCTTTAAGTTGGGTTGCTCCCAAGCAGACAATGAGATGGAATATATCACCCTGGAGATTTATTACATGTTATCTGTGAGAGAGAATATAGGAGGATTGAGCTGAGCTGTAGGCATGCTCAACACCAACATGGCTGCCCAGTGGGAAACTCCCTTTGGAGATGCTCCAATTTAGGTAAAGGCATCAAGTATTTATACACTGTGTTGACTAGTCATTGAATGCAGGCTGCCCAGGGACAGAGGCATGATGGAGCTTCATCACGGAAAGAAGTCTGAAAGAGGCTTGGCAGCTGAGAGCAATTTTCTGGTTGCATTCTCAGTAGCTGGAGGAACAAGGACATCACAGCTTCCTCCGTTTTCCATCTCTTGCATTGCTCAGAACTATTCTTACAGGTTCCCAGAACCAGTCCTTTAGCATTCCAATGAGCCATTTCTTGAGACTTAGAAGAGGGTATGATGAACTAGGGACCTTGGCATTGCAGCTGACCTGGGGACTACAACTGATATTCATAGTTTCCCTCCTCTACCATTTACTTTTTGATTCCCTTATGGTCGGCCAGAACGTCTTATGCTCTTGGTGGCACACCTGATGGCATAACCAGACCCTCCTCCCTAGAGAGCTGAGCTGGTCACATGATTTTACCTCAGGGTTTCTGGGTTTATCCATTAAACATCAAAATTCAGCAAGGGAGTGCCAAAAGGCACCAAAATGCCAAAAGGCCTGTCTACATATCAAATGCATGCCTATGTACCTCCTTACCTCCTCTTGACAGTCAGATTCAATTTTCCTGGACAAGATGATGAGTACCCTTCATGCCTGCTGGTCCACTGAAACAAAGTCCTCGAAGTACCTAGGTGAGAGCAGTGTTTAGATTAAGTGAAACTCTGGCTTTATGTCTCATGATGGAAGTTCTTTCTCCTCTGGGATACAGAACCTACAGACCTATAAAACTAAGAGTTTCCAGGGTCAAGAAGCACAGATCTCCCAAACAAGTCATCAAATTGCCTCACCCAGGATCAATCCTTTCTTTTGACAGGCCACAGTACTCCCCACCCTAAATAGGGAAACTTTGAAAGAATCTTTCCACTGGGCCAGCCAAAGCTATTGTTAAATTTTTATTACAGCTTCATCTTTTCTTCCAAATCCGACTTCCTTACTATTGCTGTCATTGATACTGATGTCAAGAGCACCGTCTAGGTAATGATAAGTGGGAGCTTGCTCCCAGCTGTAGGATTTGCACTATGTATTCTTTCTACAGACCCATCACTGTATAAAGGTCTTTCTTGTGTTGCATCCTGGAAAATGACACCTCACTGTCATCAAGTATTACCACTGAGATGGTGCTTTATGCATCTGGCTGGCTATTTCATTGCTCTATCAATCTTCTAGATTCTGAATATTGCCATTTTGATGTAATCAATGGATACCATGGCGTTGGATTCATTCCTTCATCTTCTTTGTGTAAAGTATGCTCATTGATCTGACATGTTATGTGAAATCCTGTGCAGGTGAATCATTCTGAAAGTCTTTGGAGAGTGGTTCTAGCTCAGGCTCTGAATGCAGGAAGGCAACATATATTTTGGAATGTCTACTCCTCACAAAAATGAACTGCTGCCCCTTCTAGGGTAGAAAAGGTCCAAAGTAGTCAATTTTCCACCAAGTCTCTAGATGCTGTCCTTAAGGGTTGGAGGACCAATGTGTGTTCTTGTTCACATGTTGAGTATCACCCAGCTGGGCAAGTGGGAGGCATGCTGTAAGGCAACACAAAGCCACAACACCTGCCCCATAGCTGCTTCATTCTTGTGCTTTCTGTGCTAACTCTAGGAGAGCCGATAACAGAAGGCAGCTGTCATCAACTGCAAAATTTATTCTGTCTACCTGGTTCTTTAGTTCTCTTCCACAGTGGATACCTTCTTTGGGGTTTTTAAGATATTAGGAGGATCAGAAATTGTTGTGGCACCTCCATTATATCTACAGAGAAGGAGAGAAAAGAAAACAGGAAGGTAGTTTTTCCTTCATTTGCACCCCTGGAAACATAATATTTACTTCCGTATTTCAGTAAACATAAATGTTCATATATAAAGCAAAATATGTTTCAGACAGTTTTAGTGCATCTTGTGCAACCTCATTAACAATAAATTGAGGCATATTGATTACAAATATAAACAATTTTTGATAATTATGAATGTATAAAAATTAAATATGTATTTCATTAAATACACAAAAACAAATAACAAAAGAGATATTAATAGTCAAGGGAAATGTCATGAAAGAGGCATCACTTAAGGAAAATGTAAGGAACAAATTTTAAACCGGCTGCAGCAAAATAATTGTAAAGGGATATTGCAGTCATCAAAAAATAAATAAATGTATCAGCAAACATTCTGCATACTACAACCACAAAATATGTATGTCTTAAGGACCTGTTAATCATTCCTTCATGAGCATTTCATGGAAAGTTAATGACTAGTTGCACCTTTCCCCAAAAGGATTTGATATTGCATTGTCTTAAAATTTTGCAAACTAATTTTAACTATTTAATTTTAATCCAAGATACAATGAATTCTATGATTAGAAAAAAATATGCCTCAAAATATCAATGCTGAGAAACCATGACAAGGAAACTGCATAATAAATTGATTTGGGAAAATGCTCATGTCTAAGCAATGGCATCTGTCAATATATTAAAATAGAATGGTTAACCAGGTGCATATGTGTGTGCATATCTATACATATGTGTATGTCTGTGTGTAAACATATATAAATACTTGTGCATACCTATCTAGGCATAGACATATGCATATGAGTGTACATAGATATTTGTGATAACCTGGAATGTGTAGCTGATTTAAAGCATAATGATTCCTTCATATTTATGTTTTTGGCTTAGATTGTTTTGTTTTATGTCAAAAACAGAAAAAAATATATATTTCAAATGTTGTGCTCCCACTTGGTAAGATATAATTCACTTTTTTCTATTATATAAAATAAGTTTTACTTCATTAACACGCTCTTTTGTTTCCCACAATTTTGAGTAGCTCTGACAATTATTATTGGAGATTTGTAATCAGTTTTTCTACAGCAGTCTATTTCAACAATGTGTTGTACTTTATGTGCCAATGTTGTTTCAAAAATTTTTATACTTCACTCATAGATAACCGCAATCATTTGTCCTTCACTTATTGACAAAACCACTTAGTAGTGACTGTCAACAAAAACTATCTAAAGAAACTTTCTGCCCTTTACCCACTTATCATATAACAGGGAAAAAACATCCAATGCAATATTTTTACAACTCATTTATACTCTGGGTCAAAAAAAAGTTTCCAGTTCATGCAAATAGTGAATTGTTTATGCAAATGGTCATTTTTAATCATTGAAAACCTGTTCTCAAATTACTTCCAAGATATTTGAGAAAAATCTTCATCATTTCATTATTTCATTATTTATTTATTTATTATCCTAAAGAAATGTTTTCTTTAGGAAAATTCCATTCAGATTTGCTGAAACAAAACCAAAACATCTAACTTTGTAGCAGAAAATGAATGTTTAAATTTTGTGAAGGAATAGATTTTTATCTTTGCTTTGATATATTAGCAGGCTTATTTTGGATGTTTCTTACAGAAAGAACTGAATTTCTTGAATAGAAGGAGTTATCTCCCTTACTTTGTCTCTAGGGATTGATGCCTGGATAACTCTTGTTGGGAAGAATGAAAATTTCCAATCTTTAGGTGAGGCAAAATAGTCTCTCCTTAATGATATGATTTCTAGTTAAACTGAGTGATCCACTCTTTTTGAACTACACTTGCCATTACATATTTTTGTCAAGGATAAAGTAAAAAAAGATTAGTGTGGAAGGATAAAGATGAGATTTATTGAAATATTGAAGCCAAAGAAGAGAGAATGACCTAGAATTAACCTTTTTGGAAAGATATGTTGAGCAGTCTGGCCAAGAGAAAGCCCCTCTCAAAGGTCATGCACAACAGTTCGGGGGCTCAGAGGTCGCAGAGCTAAATGCTAGGATTTGCCTCTGTGAAAAAAATTTTTTTAACAACTTTTCCCAAGGCCTGTTGTAATCAGTAAATTTTCCTGTCTTCATATGGAAAGTAATGATCATTCCTAGTATGAGATGTAATTTATGGTTCATCTCTATCTGAGTATAATATGAAAACCTACCTCTGAATCTCTCAAGAACAGTAGAGAAACCAAAGGAGAACCTTCCCTTCCCTGATCAGCACAGTGATGAGAACATTCTGCACTTGCAGCTGAGTTGAGCTAAGCACAGAGGCAAAGTGGGGAGGAGAGATGTCCTCTACCAAGTACAACTTCGAAAAGTTGTTAACAAATACAAATACCAACAAGCATTCCTAGTCAATCCACAAGTGGGAACGAGTATTGCATATCAATGTATAAATACGGATTTTAAAATTTGTGGGTAATTCCTAAGAGTATTTTTTTTTTGAGAGGGCATCTCTCATATTTATTGATCAAATGGTTGTTAACAACAATAAAATTCTGTATAGGGGAGTCAATGCTCAATGCACAATCATTAATCCACCCCAAGCCTAATTTTCGTCAGTCTCCAATCTTCTGAAGCATAA